TTTAGTAGGATGTTTAGTTCTACTATATAGGAGTTTATAACCTTCTTAACTATAAATTTCCTATTCTTCTAATCTAGCTTCTTACTAGGTTAGGCATTTCTTAGGTAGTCCCTATATTTTAGCCAAACTCTATTACCTACTTAAAGGATTAGTGCCTCCCTATAGTATTTATTTACTATCCTTTCTAGGTCCTACTATACCACCACCATCTATACCTAGGCGAAGTTAAACACCTCCTTAAACTTCTATGTCATTACTTCTATAGCGTGTTTTGGATTAGTAGCTAGTTCTATAATAGTCCTTTAGTACTTAAACTATTCTACTAGGTCTACATTCTAGCTATAGGAGAGGAAGAAGGGGCTTACGCTAGTAGTAGTAGCCTCCCTCCCTTTAATTATAATCTAGGCCATTAGTAGCCATCTTATCCAATCGTCTTACTACTAGTTATAGTAGGCCTAAAGGTAAGCTTTAAGGACTAAGTTTATTCTCTCTATCTAGCTGTTAGTTTCTAGGTGCTTTGTGGTTAATAATTTCTAGTTAATACCTAATAGGCAATATAATTCTATCTAAAATTCGCTTATAAACTGTGCTCCGCGGTCCGAGGTAATGGCGTTGGGGAGGAAGTGGTTGGCAACCTAGTGCTAGAGGAAGGCTATAGTAACCATTAATACCTAGAGGTTAGGTAGACTAATAAACTTTAGGTCCTTACTTAGCCTATCTACTATAACTATAATATTCGTACAGCCTTCGCTAGGGGGTAGGGTAGTAATAAAGTCTATCATAATATCTTTCTAACCTCGCTTGGGTAGGGGTAAGGGTTTTAGTAAACCTTTCTTCACCTCCCTCTAGGGCTTAGTCCTACTATAGATGTCGTAGTTCTTAATATACTAATAGACGTTATTTGATATCCTAGGGAAGAAGTAGTCCCTTACTAGTATTTTATATATATTCTCGCGTCCTAAGTATCCTAAAGCTAGTAAGTAATAAGCCATTATAATAAGCTTTATATATAAGGGTTCTAAGTCTAGAACCTATCTTTAGGAGTAGAAGTATAGGTAGCCCTTTTTATTAATATTATATTTAGATATGCTAATAGTAAGTTTCTATTTTAGCTTAAACTACCTAGCGCTATCCCTTACATAGGCCTTAATCTCAGGAAAGATACTTATATTATTAAGTTTAGCTTACTATTAGAGGGAGTCTAGGCTATAATCTTCCTATAGATCTTCTTCCCCTTACGACTATTAGGCTAGTTTAGTAGTAAGGGGGGCGTTAGTCTCTCCTTTACTCTCCTCTATAGATGGTGCTTATAGGATAAGTACCCTCTCCCCTTTACTATAGGTGTCCTCCTTTAGGAGGGTGAAGTACCTTAACTTTAATCTCTTATCTCTACTATCCCTAGGTAAGTCTTACTCTCGCTAAGAGAGAGTATTGGCTCTTAAATTAATACTAC